TTCCACTTCTGGCTTGTCTTCTTCATGGTAGTCAGATAGCAAAACTGAGCAATCTGCTACAAGGGCTCCAAGCACTGTATTTGCATAGTCCAACTAGTCATTTTGTGAAGGATACAAGACCATGGCTAGAAGTGCCTTATGATAGCAATTCACTGCACTGCAGTCCCCAGTGTGAGATCTTATATGGTCAGTAATGTATAAGGACTTCCTAAAGGCCTCTCAACAGTCCTTTTTATCAAGAGGCCTATCTTCATGGAAGGTTCTAACATGTTTACGGAAAGATGAAGAACAACTAAAGGCTTTCCCACATTCCTTACATTCATAAGGTTTCTCTCCACTGTGAGATCTTACATGGTCAGTGAGCTTTGAGGACTCATAAAAAGCTTTCCCACATTCCATACACTGATAAGGCCTCTCTCCACTGTGTGATCTTCTATGGACAGTGAGGTGTGAGGACCGAGTAAAGGCTTTCCCACATTCTTCACATACGTATGGCCTGTATCCATTATGAGCTTTGATATGACCAGTGAGATATGCAAACTGACTAAAGGACTTTCCACATTCCTTACATTCATAAGGCTTCTCTTCACTGTGTGTTTTTATATGGGTAGTGAGTTGTGAAACCTGCTTAAAGGCTTTCCCACATTGTTTACATACAAATGGTCTCTCTTCACTGTGTGTTTTCATATGGATAGTGAGTTGTGGAAATTGCTTAAAGGCTTTCCCACATTGTTTACATTCATACGGCCTCTCTTCACTGTGTGTACTTATATGGGTAGTGAGGTGTGAGGACCGACCAAAGGCTTTCCCACATTCCTTACATTGGTAAGGCCTCTCACCGCTATGTATTCGCATATGTGTATTGAGGGATGAGGAACAACTAAAGGTTTTCCCACATTCCTTACATTCATAACGCTTCTCTCCAATGTGCGATCTTTTATGTGTAGCAAGGGATGAGGAACAAGTAAAAGATTTCCCACATATCTTACATTCAAAAATTCTCTCTCTACTGTGAGTCCTTATATGTTTAGTGAGGGCTGAAGGATAACTAAAGACTTTCCCACATTCACATACATAAGGCCTTTTTCCACTATGAATTCTTATATGGGTAGTGAGGTGTGAGGACCGACCAAAGGCTTTCCCACATTCCTTACATTTGTAAGGCCTCTCTCCAGTGTGAGTTCGCATATGTGTAGTAAGGCCTGAGAGAAATCTAAAGACTTTCCCACACTTACATTCATAAGGCCTCTGTCCACTGTGAGTTCTTGTATGTTTAGTGAGCGGTAAGGAACAACTACAAGGTTTCCCATAATCTTTACATTTACAAAGAGTCTCTTTCACACAAAGTTTTAGGTAAGAAGGATAACTGAAGTCTTCTCCACATTCCTTAAAATGATAAGGTTTGTATCCACTGTGAGACATGATGTAATGCTTAAATGGTAAATCATCCATGAAGGCTTTTCCATATTCAATGCATTCAAAGAGATTTACTCCAGCAGGATTCCCAGTGGTGAAGGGATTTCCACACTGATTACCTTCTTCAGCTTTATTTACTTTATCATCTCTCCTTTCACAAAGGCTCTCTACTGTATCTATTCTGTTAAAAATAGGAAGCATGCTGTTAGAATTACATTTGTTACTAGTTCACAATTACTGTACCCAATGAGAACATGTGCTTTCTGTCCTTAGGTATCTCTTGTTGCACAGGTTGAATCATCTCATAGATGGTGCTATCATAACATTCACATCATTTCTATATAATGGATCTTTCTGATAACTAGGTACAAGTGAAATGTTTTAAATACAGGCATAACATCCATATGGGCATTGTCTGCCTGTACATATGTCCATGGTCCTGTAAGATTATAATACAGTTCACAAATCCCAATCAGAGAACAGGATGCAGCTGACATACTTCACTATGTGCTATAGATCCTATCTGTCTCTCACTAGCTTTCTTGGTCCCACATCTGGCCTGGCCCTTGGGTAGCAGGGGGAGGGGATTCTGGAGCCCATCCTCAGCTGACAGTCCTACTGTGCTCACCTTAGTCAGAGACTGCTGTCAGAACTGCCAATGGGCATGCCCTGCAAGGCTGCTATCCCACTTGACCAGGGCACCCTGTATATCACGTCTAAGCCCAAGGCCATAGCTACCCCAACAGCAAAAGCCACCAACCATTCCAGGCTGCAGCAGCAGTGGCAGGAGGAGTGGGAAAAGCAGCCACGGGAGGAGATGGAGGAGAGGCAGGTAGGCTGGAAGACTTTAAAGGCCACTGTGGGTGTAGGGAAGGTAGACCAAGAGGAAGGGAATGAAGCCAAAGGTGGGCCTGGCGGTGGCTGGCTAAACAGCAACTGTGTACCTTGGCAGAGGCCATATAAAGCTCTCAGAGACTTGATGGCAGCTACACAGGTCTGGCAGTGGTGGAGGAGCCAAAGGTTTCACATATTCCCTCAATATGGTGGCCAGCACGCCCCTCTCCTATATATAATGTGGTGTCTGTACAATGTCAAATCAAAGAACATACCATGGATGACAGGCAAAATACCTGTGCTCAGAACGTGATTCACATTTATGTGGAAATGATGTAAATACATCATTTTAGAGCTAGTTTTACACACATGCACAGACACACACAGAAATGTCAGGAGACCATAAGACGAACCTGAGGCCCTGTGCTCTATTATATAAATAATACTTACCTCACATGCCTTCCCTGGCCATTGTGCTGATGTTCGATGCTCTGGAATTCACAGGTTTCTCCTGACATGGAGGGCCAGGAATCAGTCTCCATTGACAGTTGTCCATTATCATCCTGTGGAAATACTGACCAAATAATTTTAAGTAGAGTTATGTAAGATGAAATAGAACAGTAAGGACAGGAGACTAAGGCACATGTGAAGAAAGACTGAGTTTCAGGCGTTTGGCTATTTCAGGACCTTGGCAATGGTCTAAAGGGTAAGAAATTTATTAAGAAAGAATTCCGTAATAATTGAAAGTGATGGTGACATAAACCAAACTAAACACACTGCCACTGTGTTGATTCTGACTCATAGCCAGCCTATAGGACAGGGGAGAAGTGACCCATGGGGTTTCCAAAGCTGTAAATCTTTGTAGAAGCTGAATGTCATGTCTTTCACCTGTGGAGAGGCTGGTGGGTTCAAACTGTCAATCTTTTCAGTTAGTGGCCATGTCTTAACCACTGCCCCACTTAGGTCTCTGTATGGTGACATAAGTAGAGTATAATTAGGAAAGCAGAATAAAAAGGTACTGCAAAAACTACAGGGTCACCCATGGTGGACAGGTTTTAGTGGAGTTTCCAGACTGAGACAGACTTGGAAGAAGGACGAGGCCTATCCACTTCTCAAAGAATTGGCCAGTGCAATACTTACGAATAGCAGTCAAAAACGTGTATAAAGGTAATATTGAAAGAGGAAATTGTGTAGGTCTTTTCCCACAAACACAGAAGGCATAAGAGGACTGATTAAAAATCAAAAAGTCAGTTTAGGTTAAGTGTGCAAGTACCACCTCCTCAAAGCAAAAGAGATTTTTTCGACTTGATTTCGTCAAATGTAATTCCATCCCAGCAGGTCTGGTTCTTCAAATGATTCTTGCCTTAAAGGTTCTCCCTGACAGTACAGCTCTGGATATGTCCTATCTCCACTCTCCTCAAAACTTTCCCTTCATCCTCAGTGAGAAAAACCAGAGTGGTTGACATGGTTCTCATGAAAAAAGACACATCACAACAGAAGATAGACGAGCACATTTCCCTGACACTAAACCAATACTTTGGTCTCTACATTCTCCATAGATGGACAAGTGTGAGTTAATTTAAGCAAAAATAATCACATCAAATTTATAATAAACATGTAAAACACTCAAGAGGTCCCAAACCATAAATCTCTCTTTGCTATAAAGTGACCCTTGAAGACAATACTCACACAACACTTAAATAGCCTCAAGACTTTTAACATGGTACATAGTTAATTTAATACAAAGAGTTTTACTTTCATAGGGAAGCCACTAGAGTCTAAGCTACATGAAGGCAGTAATAATGCCTGTCATATTTGCCAGTGAATTCCAATTCCTCAACTCAAATGATGTAAGAACATCAATGAATATATTTCTTCATTAGAGAAGTAAATATGAAGAATGAAGCCAATCTCACCTGAGTCCAGGTTCCTGAAGGTTTCCATCATCACATCTCTGTAAAGTTGCCTCTGAGAAAAATCCAGCAAAGCCCACTCTTCCTGGGTAAATTCCACAGCCACATCCTCAAAGACCACAGAGTCCTAAAACATCACACATGTTCTACATCAGCAAGGTATCATCTTCCCCAGTGTCTGCTACATACAGGTGGGTGAGGTTAACAATCCTGAGAAACTCAGAATTCATAGGAAGTTCACACAAGGTTCTGTTCTACTCTAGACTTTGGCCATCAGAGTCATACCTTCACTTACTATAGTTATCTCCTGACTGTTGACATCTTGTGTCATACATTTAACAATATTTCTAACACTGAACTTATCTCTTAATAGTGTGACTATGACCTATTTAGTCTTATTCCTTTCAATATTTATGGTTCAGACAGGCAGAAAACATAGCAGAAGGGAAAGAAATCCTATATGAATAAAAGACCTATTTCCACATTCAGGTCATCATTTCTCTGTGAAAAAATCAAATTCATCTTCCATAAGACCCATCAGAATACACAACAAAACATGAAGCACTGGGTGGAAACAAGATGAGTTATTAATAACTGGGAAAGACTAGTAAACTGGCAGCTTTTCCCACTGAATGAACAGATGAAGCAAACATGTGAATCAGATTCAGATATGGCAGAAATTCTGGAATTAACAGACTGGGAATTTAATACAATTATGATTCATATTGCTGAAAGTGAAGATTTGAAGTACTTACCGATAAGGATGAAAGTCTACAGTCTTTAGAACGGATTACACTCATAAAACAAAAATCCTTACAACTGGTTCAAAAGCAACATCACAATAAAGGAAAAAAGACTTAAGTTGTTTGTAATTTCCTTTTACTTGGATCCACAATCAATGCCTACAGAAGCAGCATTCAAGAAATCATACAATGCTTGACCACAGCCAGCTACCCAGAGGAAGCAAGTAGTTGGACCTGTGGACTCAGGACCATGTTGCAGGGGACATCAAGCTCAGTTGGCATTAACATACTACACAAAAACATTGTTCCACATCCTACTTTGGTGAGTAGCAACCAGGATCTTAAAAGCTTGCAAGCAACCATCCAGATGCAATGATGGGTCTCTCCTCATCCAGAGCAAAGAAGAATGAAGGAAACCAAAGACTCATGGAAACAATTAGTCCTCGCAACTGGTACACCATGTGATCCTCAGCCTATATGACTATGAAACCAGAAGAACTAGATGGTACTTGGCTACCACGGTCAACCACTCAGAGGGGGATCTATGTAGGAGATCCTGGATAGAGTGGGAAAACAATGTGGAACAAAACTCAAAATCATTTCGAAAAAAAAAGGACCAGGTTTACTGGTCTGATGGAGCCTGGTGGAACCCCTGAGACTATGGCCCCTAGCTGCCCTTCAGATCTCGAACTGAACTCACTCCTGTGGTTTCCAAAGCAACAAAAGACAGGCATATGAGCTGAACATTTACATTAGGTTGATACACTCTTGGAGAGATCAATCATGGGAGAATACAAGGGCTGTGCATGCACAGGGAGACAGTTCGGCAGGGGGGTGGCACTGAAGTGCATGGTGAGATGGACACAGGAAAGAGGTGGCTATGGAAAGGAAGGGGGAGGGGAGCTGTTACATTGTGGGATATTGCAGTCAATGTCATGAGACAAAGTGTATGCGAACTGCTGTATGGAAGATGCATTTGCTCTGTAAAATCACACAAATCACAATAAAATTTAAAAAAAAGACCCAACAGAAGTTCCAGACAGACTGAAGGTTAGGCAGTAAGAGGTGACAAAGATGAGTCCAAGAATTTTCACCATGAAGACTGAAAAGATTGAGTGCCATCAACACAGATGTGGAAATTTTCAAGAGGAGCAGATTTTATAGAAAGCATGCAGAGGTTACTTGGGGCTTGTTGAGAAAGAAATGAGAATAAGACAGCCAAGTGGGGAAGATACCAAAAAAACAGGTTTTTAAAAGAATGGGCTATAATGAGGAAAGAAAAATCTCTACACCATACGGTGGCTAGGACACCTGGATTTTCACATGCATAAGAATGAAAATCCCTACACATCATATCATGTCCTAAATTAATTCTAAATGGATCAACA